TTTTTTTTTTTTTTTTTTTTTTTTTTTTTGTTTTTGAATTTACAGGAACAAGAGGAAACAAACAGTCGTTGGTTTATATTTGGACTTCTTCCTAATAAAATATTTCTTGTTGAATACGTTTTTTTAATATATTGGTGCTAAAGTTATACACCGGTAATCATTGTACTTTTGAATAATGCGTGGTCAATTTATGGAAAGTACGGTCAATTGAATGGTTTCTGGATAAAGATGTCAAATAAAAAAAGCATTTAAAAAAGTAATTCAAGTTTACGAGCAAAAAAAATTGATTGCTTACTGATATATGGTGCTTCTTCTTTTTGGTTGGTTTTTCTTCTTTTGTACATTGGAAGGAACGTATGGAAAGAGGGGACAAAGGAGTGAATTAAATACACATTTTTTTCAAAAAAACACGAATTTTCTGAAACTTCATTTTGCGTGATAGTGTCTGCGGCATATGAGAGGTTTAAAAGATTGCAACTGTTGTTGAAATTATTTTAAAATAATTTGAAGAAGAAGCAACATGCAAATACATTTCTTCTTGTCTTATATCATTTTTTTTTTTTCTTTTTTTGCTTATTTTCTAATGATTTTTGCCAAATTTTGCATCTGAACAACGGCAACATTTCATTTGTTTAAAAAGTTTTTCTTTTTTCTTTTGTACTTAATTAGTTTTTTTCACATGTTTGTGTGATATAAAGCTTAGAAGATTTGGGTAGGGTGGGGGGGAGAGGGGAGGAGGAGAAGGAAAGAAAAAAACTGAAAGACAAACCAAATGAACAACAAATTAATGTACGATAAGATTAATGGAAAGCTGAAAAAATTGGGTTGTAAAAAAGTTATTGAACTTCTGATGAGAGTGTAAATTCGATCTTTATTGTTTGTTTGTTAATTAAATACAAAATGTTTAATGACTATGCACAGCGAAGTAGTTCCTTTTTGCTGTTGTTTATGCTAGTGGTTCTCTATCAAAAGTTCTTCAAAATGACAGTTTAACAACAATTTGGTCAAATCTTCTCTTATTTATAGAAAAAAAAAAATAAAAAAGATATGTATAGGGAATTGTATTGATGTTTTGAGTCGTTTATGTTTTGTGGAATTGCTACGGAGGACGTTTAAAGGATCAGCTGTTTTATGTTTAGATCACAAATAGCTCAGAATCGATCAGTACGTTCCATTTTATGGATTATCATCTGTCCTATAAACGCTTTTCATTTTCAAAAAATCTTCCTTTTTTTTTTTTAAACAGAAATCGTTGTCATTTTTTGTTTGCATCCAAAGTAAAATACTGACGATTCTGGCAGAGAAAGAAGCAGAAGAAGAGAAGAGAAGTTAATTTTACTTTTATAAAACAAAATTTGGTTGTATAATGATATAAAGGAAACAGATATACCATAAATTTGTATAAAGCAAGTTTATTATTTAATACTTTAGACTGAACAATCAAATTAAATCTTTTTCTTTTTTGATATTTTTGGTTGATATCTTTCAGAGGATTCGTCTTTGTTAACAGTCACTTGAAAACAGTAATTTATACTTTTTTCCTTTTTTTTTTTTATTTATTTAATTATTTATTTATTT